TTATGTTTTTATAATTTCTTTTCCTCGGCTCAAAATGCCGTTTATACTCTGTGGGGTTTCCCCCATCCCCTTGTAGTGAGGGGTTAGAAGGAACTGTGAAGTTCACTGGGTACAACTCCTCATCTGATGCTTGCATTGCCTCTACAATGTCACAGCCATTAGCTTCTGTCTGAATGCCTCCAGGAAAAGCAAAGGCAGGCTCCTGGAGCAGCCCACAGATGATCTGTAACCTAGGACAGGTCTGCTAAGCCCTTCTCAATACTGAGCTGTCTTCAGTCTCCTGGGAGATTGTATCCAGTGCGATAGGCGGGGCTCTCCATTAAGGACCACTCATCTGGAGTGGCTGCTCCCTCCTCCATGGTCAGCAGTGTGTGTTGAGGATAGGGAAAAAGGGAGAGCATGTGTCCTGGGACAGCCAAGCATTAAGCAGAGTTTATTTTCCTTATTCCTTCACTCTTTCACTCCTATTGTGGTGTCACCTGTTGTGGCCTGGAAGTCAGGAAGCAGAGAATGCAGGGAAACTTACTTTCCTGCCTTGAGACAGGCTCGTAAGAAAGAATGAAGTCTTCTTGCCCTCCTGGGAAGAGAAGAAAGGAAATGTACAGTGGACTAACAACCAGTCATATACTACAGCTACAAGCACTTCTCTGAAGCACAGGAAACAGGCACAGTTCAGGGTTTATTTTCCTTACTCTCTCTTCTCGAATGATTCCAAAACTCCCTTCATCCTCATAAAACTAATTAGCATTATGACAGTGTCAGGTTACCGGTGGCCATGCCTCTAGGTAACCAATGGAGGCTAGTTGTCCTCAGCTCATTAGGGCAGTGGCTTCTTAGGCTGCCTTTCTTCTGACACTGAGCAGTGGGGTGCCATGGCCCCTACACCCAGCATTACTACTTAAAACAAGATCTGCTTCAGTGGTCGGCAAACTGCGGCTTGTGAGCCACATGCGGCTCTTTGGCCCCTTGAGTGTGGCCACAAAGTTTCAATCGCACTGTACATCCGTGCCCGCACGTGGTATTTTGTGGAAGAGCCACACTCAAGGGGCCGCAGTTTGCCGACCACTGGTCTAGTTCAAAAACAGGCTTCATCCAATAGTTGGCTGCTTAGATTATCAGAATTTTGGGACCTTTTATTTTACCTTCTATTTTATTTCCCAAAGAAGCACACTATTCAAAAGCAAGTGTCTGCTTGCTTTATTTATGATGCAAAAACTTCCTCAGCATATATTACTGGACACTAAGGATTTTACTCTAATGTTTATTCATCAGGAAAATGCTGAGTCAATTAAGAAGGTAAAAAATTAAAGAGTCCCCTAAGTCCTTGGTGATAATTGCCATTAAATCTAGCCGTGAAACTCGGGGAAAGAACTAAGAAAGACAATGTAGCTAAAGTGTCAGCCCCTCACTGTCATTTGCCACCAGTCTTCTGATTCATGGTGGGCCTCACGTCAACAAATAACCATGGAAGGTAAACTGGTTTTTGGCAAATATTTTTTTCAGTCAACTATTTTATCCAGTTGATGACCTGGGCATGAGATTAGGCTGATTCAGCTGCAAACGCAGAAGGGTCTACTCTTTTATTTGCTTTAGACCAGGGGTAACTATCCTTTGATGGGAAATAGTTTAGGACTGTTGAAAAGGGCTTCCTGTCTACAGAGAAGGTAGTTTTCCCTGAAACCAAAAGGCAATGAATCTTACTGCTTTATCTCCCCATCACCCCTCAAACACTGTCTGTCTGTCAACACCACATGTTCCTCCTTCAAAAGCCATAGCACCAGACCAGGTGAGTTCATTTCATAAAAGGAGTTCATAGCACAGCCAGTTGCAGACTGACAACAGATTTGGGGAAATTAAGCAAGTATGTGGAGAAAACTATGAAATACAGATGTCTTCCCTAGAGACTGGGTAGGTGGGGTTGGGTAGGGGTGTCTTACATTTTTAACCATGAGAAATGGCCCCAGCCTAAGTCATACTTACTTCATCCTTATGCAGGGCCTATTCTCAGAATGGCACCGCTAGGCCAACCTATTTCCTAAAGGCATGGAGAGTGGGCCTGATGTTCTTTCTAAGTGGCATCTACTCATAGCTTCCCTAGAAGTCTTCAGGGCACATTCTCACATCTGGGCAGGGGTTTGGTATTGAAGAGTCAGATTTACATTATTTTAAAATTCAAGAAAAATGATTCATTTTAATAAATAAAACTGACATTTACAGAGGCGAGGCAAAATAAAGTAATTGGTTCCCACTTATCTAAAGCCTGAGAGGTAGAGGTCATAGGAATCAAACTACAGGTGTAAAATAGTTGGGGGAAAGTATAGTTTGGGAATAGAAACATGGCAGACTTAGAGTTAATGTTAGACTATTTTTACAGGGAAATTTAGGTGGAATGATTAAAATATAAAAGGAGAATACTAACTATGGTCTAACAAAAGTTTTAAACATCAGGTGATATTTATTTCCCGCCGCTAGACTGGGAACTCCATAAAGGCAAGGAGTGGGTTTCATTTACTACTGTGTCTCCAGCACTTAACATAATGATGTCAATAAATTTGCCTTCTGATTTCAGCGGTAGAAAACAGGATGAGTAACGAGGCCAAAGGTAGGTTCTACTTTGTGTTTCTATGGCTTTCACTTTAGGAAGTGTGGTTTTCTCTCAATGAATGTAACACGTTATGTTCCCATAGGAATCTCTTTCCTGTGGTCTTGCAAATCATTCTAAATAAGGTATTTGGTGTCAGTCCGTATAATTTGTGATTCAGAAAACTAGGTCAAAGCAACATAGCTTTGATTAATTTTGTTAGATCTGTAGTTCTTTGTTTATCGATTGCTTTTTGGTTTACTTTCTAACTTACACCAGGCACTGCTTCTTGTTCAGAACAATAAGACTAGCAGTGGCAACATCCCTATGTCAAGGCCCATCCCAATTTTAATGACTCTGTGACAGTCAGGTGTTATGTAAAGAAGTTTCTAGGGAAGCTATGGTGATTGGTATCACATAATAGCTGTGAATTCGGCACCTTAAACCAATTTTCACTTTCATGTTCAAGAATGAAAAGCCCTATGGGTAATGGAAAGAAGACTAAGAGGCAGAGGGAAAAAGGTCACAGCAATGAAGGAAAGATAATCCATGTGTGTATAGCACTTTCCAGGCCATAAAGGGCTTTCACAGCCATTTCTTTTGTGGTAGGTTCTCTGATGATAACCCATTTTACAGATGAAGTAGCTGAGGATAAGATATAATGGGGCCTGTTTTCTCAGGTAGTAAGTAGTGGAGTCAATATTTAAAATCACACCTTTTTTGACTCCTTGTTGAGTATATTACACTGTCTCAAAAAGGCAAGACATGTAGAATTCTCTGGGGGCTGGGATGTAGAAGCAGACCTTACCAATGAGCAAAGAATGGGTGGCAGGGATAGCCGCTGACCTGGGTCAGAGTCACTGAGGGGCCACCTGTGAGCACCACCTATAAACATCAACTCTTAAAAAAAAGTAGTTGTGTTATCTCCATAAAATTGTGATTGGTAGTAGTTTTTCTATTTGTTCCAGAGGTATTGGCACTTGGGAAGAACAGCCAACAAAAGGGTACCAACTGTTACTTGGTCTTGTTTTTGCAACTGCATGGCTGAGAGTAGGAGAGTAGCAGTGCTATGTGGGGGCATCTGCAGCTGCAGGAAACAGCCTTTGTAACAATCTCCATGAAACACCTGGTGTTTGAACTGGAAGCAAGTCACAATAAGAGGGACTTGGAGTAAGACCTTGATATGCACTGATGATAGAGAAAAGCAAGTTGATGTTCTTTCGGAATTTTTGGAAACTAGAAAAGAGAGAGGAGGGAAGAGAAGACCAGGGATAGTACATTTAATATTCTAAGTTTAGTGTTTAGTGCCTCCATTTGATGGTTGTTAAGAATAAATTAGGTTCTTAGAGTCATAGAATGTTAGTGTTAAAAAAGGGTTTGAAGTTCCTGTGGTTCATAGATGGCGAGTATGTAGCACATGATGTCACTCCCCCATCCCATGTCCCTGACCGGCATCACAATGGGTCATTGCCTGAATTACTGCAGAGCCTTAAGTTGGCCTCAATACTTCCAGGACAACTCTTCAGGCAGATATTACTAAATGGTCAGAGTTGTAATTTTGATTAAAATCTACTTGTCATCTCTGTTTGAAACCAAACTACTCATTTTACATAGGAGAGAACTGAGGTTCAAAGACACTGAACACATCGTGAATCTCCATGGGATGTTCAGAGGATTAAATCAGTTAATGTACTATACAGGGCTTTAACATCAGGCTTAGAACATGGTTAATGCTATATAAAGGCTGCTGCTGTATTAATTTTATAGGTAGATGGGATGGTTGAAATGTTCCAGATAAAACACGAAGAGGCCTGGATTACAAACTCTAGGGGAGGGTGGGAATGTACGGGATTCAGAATTAACACGCCTTGGTTGGACCTCCAGTGCCACCATGTCAGCGAGGTACATTGCCTCTTGGAGCTTCAGCTACCTCATCTGTAAAATGGAATAGTACTACAAGATGCATCTCATAGTTTTGTTGTAGAAATCAAATGAGAAAATAGATATAATGAGAAATTGCTTTATGAAGGCTAAAGAACTACCGGAAATATAAGGGCAATATTTGGGACATGACGCCAAGGACAAGAATATGGGCATCATTTTGACTGATTCCAATGGAAAAGTCTTGGGTCTCCTCATCCGCCCCTCAACTTCACTCAGATCATTTCCTTAAGCTTCTAGGTTTAAAAATTCTACTTAGCTGATGAGCACCAATGGGTTAGAAGGATAATCATCAGCTCCCCCTACCCATAATGACATAAGAGCGTTACTGAGCTTTGAGGAAGGCAGTCTTCAGCTGTAGGGATTGGAAAGTCTCCATTACACCTGCATGGCTTCCTTGCATCCTGATACAAGGGCAATTGAAAACGAAGTCACAAAACAACCACAAATACAGCCAGCACTGTACTACTTTGTTGACAGACAGAAATCTAAAATGAGCCCATAATTAAGATAGTTCTGAGGTGGCATTTGCATAATTAGACGAATGTGCCCTATAATTATCTGCATTTGGCTACTGCTCAGTATAATTGGATTTTGAAAAAAAAATTATTCAATAATGATTGAGATGGTGCAGCAAAGCTCTGAGCTATTTATTAGAATTTGAGGTTTGTTTAAATGTGTGTGTGTGTGTGTGTGTGTGTGTGTGTGTGTGTGTGTCTTCTCAGGAATGTATGAGGCTTTTAAAAAGTTGTTACAATCTGTAACTCCAGGATGCGGTGTGCATGGTGCAGCCTGGGTCTTTGCTTCTAACTGCTGATGTAAAGCTATTTTGTCCCCAGAGTGGACATGGAATGATTCTAAGGGTAAAAGATAACACCTGGACATCAGTGGAAAACGGTCTTTTTAGTGTTTGTTTACTCTGCTATTTATGAGACATAAGGTACTCATAATTACAGCAAAAGCCGGGAAGTCAATAGAAAGTGCAGCCTATTTTGATTTTAAAATGGCACTTTCTGGAGACCAGTCTGTCCCAAGCCTGTGTGCCTTTTTTCATG